GGGAGCGCGCAATTGGCATGCTGACTGTAGGAATGTCCACCAGAGCTGTTGCCAGAGAATTTAATGTTAATTTCTCTACCATAAGCTGCCTCCAACGTCGTTTTATAGAATTTGGCAGTACGTCCAACCGGCCTCAACCGCAGAACATGTGTAACCACGCCAGCCCAGGACCTCCATATCCGGCTTCTTCACCTGCGGGAGATCGTCTGAGACCAGCAACCCGGACAGCTGATGAAACTGTGGGTTTGCACAACCGAAGAATTTCTGCAAAAACTGTCAGAAACCGTCTCAGGGAAGCTCATTTGCATGCTCGTCGTTCTCACCAGGGTATTGACCTGACTGCAGTTCAGCGTTGTAAACGACTTCAGTGGACAAATACTCACCTTCAATGGCCACTGGCACGCTGGAGAAGTGTGCTCTTCATGGATTAATCCTGGTTTCAACTGTACCAGGCAGATGGCAGACAGCTTGTATGGCGTTGGGTTGGTGAGCGGTTTGCTGATGTCAACATGGTGAACAGAGCTCCCCATGGTGGCGGTGGGGTTATGGTATGGGCAGGCATAAGCTACGGACAATGAACACAATTGCATTTTATCGATGGCAATTTGAATGCACAGAGATATCGTGACGAGATCCTGAGGCCCATTGTCGTGCCATTCAACCGCCACCATCACCTCATGTTTCATTACGATAATGCACGGTCCCATGTCTGTACACAATTCCTGGAAGCTGAAAATGTCCCAGTTCTTCCATGGCCTGCATACTCATCAGACATGTCACCCATTGAGCATGTTTGGGATGCTCTGGATCAACATGTATGACAGTGTGTTCCAGTTCCCGCCAATATTCAGCAACTTCGCACAGCCATTGAAGAGGAGAGGGACAACATTCCACAGGCCACTATCAACAGCCTGATCAACTCTATGCGAAGGAGATGTCACGCTGCATGAGGCAAATGGTGGTCACACCAGATACTGACTGGTTTTCTGATCCACGCCCCTACCTTTCTTTTAAAGGTATCTGTGACCAACAGGCGCATATCTGTATTCCCAGTCATGTGAAAGCCATTGATTAGGGCCTAATGAATTTGTCAATTGACTGATTTCCTTATATGAACTGTAACTCAGTAAAATCTATTAAATTGTTGCATGTTGTGTTTATATTTTTGTTCAATGTATTTCTCCTAATTTCGCCTAATGTAGAGAATCATTGTACCATCTAAACCGCTGTGAAATATATTTTCAATAACCAATAATATTGTATTTTCAGTTTGAAGCTGGTGTACAAAACCGAAAGTAAGGATGGGGAAGCATAGAAATAGCGCACATAGAACAGATCTACCACTTCTTAGATATGCTTTCAATGAGAATAACAGGTCTATAACTTACATTTATTTGTGAATTTGGTCTGGTATGAAAAAACATAAAAATGTATGCACTCTGGATAAGAGCATCTGCTAAATGACTAAAATGTAAATATAAATGGTCGCCCATAAAGTTACATATTGCAGCTTTAAGTGCATGCTCTTGGTCTTCCATTAACCCATGCTCTAGTCTACACGTTCCTCTGCATCTCAGACTGAACTAGGCTACCCCTCTGATCTGAGCTATTCTCCATGATCTGAGGTGTTTGTGATCGGGGTGGAATATTTTATGACTTAATGTATAAAGCCTTATTCTATATGAAATATATAGTAAAAATGTAGAATCCGAGTGCTGTCTAGTAGATTATGGATGTGGTTGCTTAAATAAGGCTTTTCTGTTGGGCATTAGCCTAATCTTTGCACTCACATAATATGGAGACACATTCTGAGTAGGTGTTGGAATTCCCCCGTTAACTGCATCATTGGTTTGACAGAGAAAGAAACAGCTCTGGGTAGATAGAGTTGGTTATGAAGATAACTTTGAAGAAAGAGCCAAAAAATAAAGAAAGATGTGGCCGTAAACCTGTGTCCTTTTGTTTGAATTTTTCCATGTAAACAAAACAGACTTACGTTTTTGAATACCATTGTGTGTTCCTTTGTTTCTGACTCTGCTTATGCATTGTTGTTTGGGATTTCTTGGCAGACAAGACAATGGCCATGTCTTGGCAAAGCCCTAGTGCTGTTCTATACAGGAATGCGTGCTAAGGATTCTATCCTTGTGTGCAGCTTGTTCGTTAGCTACTCATGGTACGCCTCTAATGTGCTTCTGTTGAAGCTCTCCTGGACGGATGGATGTGCCGGTGCTGAGTATTGGCTAGCTTACCTTTCATGGAAAATTTGTCCAATATGGAATATGCTTTTTAAATCTATCATCAATGGGTTGTGGTGCTCACTGCTATAAACACAATCAAGTAAAATATAAATGAAATGATGTCTCTTCCCACAGAGTGATCGTCTCCTAATCAAAGGTGGGAAGATTGTGAATGATGACCAGTCTTTCCTTGCTGACATCTATATGGAGGATGGAGTCATCAAGTAAGTCTTATTAGTTAGAGCGCCATTGTCTTGCCTGCACCTTTGTTGGCTATGTGTGTGTGTGTATATGTGTGTGTGTATGTGTATATATATATATATACATACACACACATACAGTGAGGGAAAAAAGTATTTGATCCCCTGCTGATTTTGTACGTTTGCCCACTGACAAAGAAATGATCAGTCTATAATTTTAATGGTAGGTTTATTTGAACAGTGAGAGACAGTAGCTCAGCTGGTAGAGCACGGCGTTTGTAACGCCAAGGTAGTGGGTTCGATCCCCGGGACCACCCATACACAAAAATGTATGCACGCATGATTGTAAGTCGCTTTGGATAAAAGCGTCTGCTAAATGGCATATTATTATTATTATTATTATTATTATTATTATTATTTATTATTAATAACAACAAAAAAATCCAGAAAAACGCAAGTAAAAAATGTTATACATTTATTTGCATTTTAGTGAGGGAAATAAGTATTTGACCCCCTCTCAATCAGAAAGATTTCTGGCTCCCAGGTGTCTTTTATACAGGTAACGAGCTGAGATTAGGAGCACACTCTTAAAGGGAGTGCTCCTAATCTCAGTTTGTTACCTGTATAAAAGACACCTGTCCACAGAAGCAATCAATCAATCAGATTCCAAACTCTCCACCATGGCCAAGACCAAAGAGCTCTCCAAGGATGTCAGGGACAAGATTGTAGACCTACACAAGGCTGGAAAGGGCTACAAGACCATCGCCAAGCAGCTTGGTGAGAAGGTGACAACAGTTGGTGCGATTATTCGCAAATGGAAGAAACACAAAATAACTGTCAATCTCCCTCGGCCTGGGGCTCCATGCAAGATCTCACCTCGTGGAGTTGCAATGATCATGAGAACGGTGAGGAATCAGCCCAGAACTACACGGGAGGATCTTGTCAATGATCTCAAGGCAGCTGGGACCATAGTCACCAAGAAAACAATTGGTAACATACTACGCCGTGAAGGACTGAAATCCTGCAGCGCCCGCAAGGTCCCCCTGCTTAAGAAAGCACATGTACAGGGCCGTCTGAAATTTGCCAATTAACATCTGAATGATTCAGAGGAGAACTGGGTGAAAGTGTTGTGGTCAGATGAGACCAAAATTGAGGTATTTGGCATCAACTCAACTCGCCGTGTTTGGAGGAGGAGGAATGCTGCCTATGACCCCAAGAACACCATCCCCACCGTCAAACATGGAGGTGGAAACATTATGCTTTGGGGGTGTTTTTCTGCTAAGGGGACAGGACAACTTCACCGCATCAAAGGGACGATGGACGGGGCCATGTACTGTCAAATCTTGGGTGAGAACCTCCTTCCCTCAGCCAGGGCATTGAAAATGGGTCGTGGATGGGTATTCCAGCATGACAATGACCCAAAACACACGGCCAAGGCAACAAAGGAGTGGCTCAAGAAGAAGCACATTAAGGTCCTGGAGTGGCCTAGCCAGTCTCCAGACCTTAATCCCATAGAAAATCTGTGGAAGGAGCTGAAGGTTCGAGTTGCCAAACGTCAGCCTCGAAACCTTAATGACTTGGAGAAGATCTGCAAAGAGGAGTGGAACAAAATCACTCCTGAGATGTGTGCAAACCTGGTGGCCAACTACAAGAAACGTCTGACCTCTGTGATTGCCAACAAGGGTTTTGCCACCAAGTACTAAGTCATGTTTTGCAGAGGTGTCAAATACTTATTTCCCTCATTAAAATGCAAATCAATTTATAACATTTTTGACATGCGTTTTTCTGGATTATTTTGTTATTATTCTGTCTCTCACTGTTCAAATAAACCTACCATTTAAAATTATAGACTGATCATGTCTTTGTCAGTGGGCAAATGTACAACATCAGCAGGGGATCAAATACTTTTTTCCCTCACTGTATATAGATCCCCTGCTGATTTTGTACGTTTGCCCACTGACAAAGACATGATCAGTCTATAATTTTAATGCTAGGTTTATTTGAACAGTGAGTGACAGAATAACAACAAAAAAATCCTGAAAAACGCATGTCAAAAATCAAATGCATTTTAATGAGGGAAATAAGTATTTGACCCCTCTGCAAAACATGACTTTGTACTTGGGAGCCAGAAATCTTTCTGATTGAGAGGGGGTCAAATACTTATTACCCTCATTAAAATGCAAATCAATTTATAACATTTTTGACATGCGTTTTTCTGGATTTTTTTGTTGTTATTCTGTCTCTCACTGTTCAAATAAACCTACCATTCAAATTATAGACTGATCATTTCTTTGTCAGTGGGCAAACGTACAAAATCAGCAGGGGATCAAATACTTTTTTCCCTCACTGTACACCTACCAGAATTCATTGGCTACAGCCCTACAAATCGATGAAAACAGATAAATACCAATACATTGAAAATATGTTGTTGTCAAGCTGGCTAGCATGAGGCAGCTCAGTCTTCAGTTTTTCCGTAACAAAACTTAATATTTCTGGTGCTCCTACATTTTATGTGGTGCTCTTAACCTTTTAGGGCACAAATGCAAAGCTTCCATAATCATTTTGCATGATTCTACTGTATCCAGCAATCTATCTGTATTTTATGTTATTTTTGCTTACTGTTTAATTATCCACTTCCATAAATCATGATTTTTTCCCTCACTGTATATATGAAGAAAATCACAGTATATTTTTTTGTAATGCCTTTGATAATTTCTCTCAATCCATTCTTCCTTCTCTCAGGCAAATTGGAGAGAACCTGATTGTTCCTGGTGGGGTGAAGATCATTGATGCCCATGGGCGCATGGTGATGCCCGGGGGCATAGATGTGCACACACGCTTCCAGATGCCAGACAGGGGCATGGTGTCAGCAGATGACTTCTACCAGGGCACCCGTGCTGCTCTGGCTGGGGGAACCACCATGATCAGTATGTACTAATGAAATGCTTCATCCCTACTGGCACACTTTATAGAAACCCGTATTACATGTGATGTCTAGGTAGATTCTGACAAACTGATACCTGGTACTGACAACCTAGATTGTAAATTGCTGAAGTTGGTAGCGGAATACATTGCGACTCCTGTTGGCCACATCTTCAATTTAAGCTTAGAAGACGGTGTGTGCCCTCAGGCCTGGAGGGAGGCAAAGGTCATTACACTGCCAAATGATAGCAAATCACCCTTTAATGGTTCAAACAGCCGACCAATCAGCCTGTTACCAGTGGTTAGCAAACTTTAGGAAATCACGTTTGACCAAATACAATGTTATTTTACAGAAAACAAATTAACAACAGACTTTCAGAATGCTTATAGGGAAGGGCACTCAACATGCTCAACACTGACACAAATGACTGATGATTGGCTGAAAGAAATTGATAATAAGAAGATTGTGGGAGCTGTTTTTTGTTAGATTTCAGTGCAGCTTTTGAAATCATTGACCTATTGCTGACAAAATGTAGGTGTTATGGATTTACATCCTCTGCCTTATCATGGATTGAGAGTTACCTATCTAATAGAACACAGAGGGTTTTCTTTAATGGAAGCCTCTAATGCAAATTTGGTTGAGTATGGTGTACCGCAGGGCAGCCGGCTTGGGGCATTATTGTTTTCTGTTTTTACTTAATGACCTTCCACTGACCTTGATTAAAGCCTGTGTGTCTATGTACGCTGACGACTCATCCATATACACATCAGCTACGACAGTAAAATAAATAACTGACACCCTTAACATGGAGTTCCAGTCAGTTTTAGAATGGTTAACTAGCAATAAGCTGGCGCTAAATATCTCAAAAACTAAAAGCATTGTTTTAGATCTATTACTAAATAATGTGGCGATTGAGCAAGTTGAGAAGACTAAACTTCTCGGTGTAACCCTAGATAGCAAGCTGTCATGGTCAAAACATATAGACTCAAAGGTTGCTAAAATGGAAAGAGGTCTGTCCATGGTAAGGCGTTGCTCTGCTTTCTTGACATCTAAATCAACAAGGCAGGTCCTACAGGCCCTAGTTTTGTCGCACCTGGGCTACTGCCCAGTTGTGTGGTCATGTGCGGCAAAAAAGGGCATAGGAAAATTGTAGCTGGTCCAGAACAGAGGAGCACGTATTGTACTTTGATGTACACGGAGGGCGAATGTCAATCTCTCCTGACTCAAAGTTGAGGAGAGATTGACTGCATCACTATTGGACTTTGTGCGAGGTGTTGATGGGTTAAAGGTACCGAACTGTCTGTTCAAGCACACATTTTGGACACTCATCGGTAATACACAAGACATGCAGCCAGAGGTTTCTTCACAGTACCCTGGTCCAGAACAGAGGCTGGGAAACGCACAGTATTAAAGCATTATGACTACATAGAACTCTCTGCCACCCCAGCTAACTCAAGCTAGCAATATAACAGATAAAAGAACACCTTACGGCACGACAGGGACTGTGAAGAGACACAGACATTTTTATATATTTTGTATTATGTAGTGTTATGTATATTATGTATTTTATTTGTTGTGTTTTGTTTTCTGTTTGGACCCCAGGAAGAGTAGCCACTGCCTTGACAGCGGCTAATTGGGGATCCTAATAAAATACTTATACTAAAATATTAAATCCCAGATGTTCATGTTGTCATGATTTTGAATATGTCTGGCCTCTGTAAAATGTGATAATGTTACTGCTAGTGTGTGTGTGTGTCTGTGTGTGTGTGTAGTTGATCATGTGGTTCCAGAACCTGGTGTGAGCTTGGTGGCAGCGTTCAACCAGTGGAGGGAATGGGCCGACAGCAAGTCCTGCTGTGACTACTCTCTGCATGTGGACATCACTGACTGGCACAAGGGCATGCAGGAGGAGATGGAGAGCCTGGTGAAGGACCATGGTACGCTGCTAATTACACAACCCATTCTCCCTACATTCACTCATGTCAGGGGGGTGGGGGAGCTATCACTTCTACTAAGACTGTCTTTGTGGTTTATTTCCTTCCTGTGACTGTCCTTTCCTCTCCCTTTTCTATCCCTTTATCTATTGCTACTATTGCTCATAAGTTTTCTATCTTTAGGTGTCAACTCTTTCCTGGTCTATTTGGCTTATAAGGATGTTTTCCAACTTTCCGACTCCCAGGTACGATTTGAAGCATTTCAGATTGGTATGATTTACTGGCGACGGATGGAGGAGTCAACATTTCTGGAGGCTTGTGCATGGCTTTAAAGTAATGATTGCATTGCACATTGTGTAACTAAATTGCATGACAGAATTATATTCTGTATTACATTTCTGATAAACTCTTTGAAGGCTGAATCCTAACTATAGATTAGTGAGCATAAAAAGTAGTTGTTGACGTAAATGAGAGATTTGCACGAATGTTCAAGTTACGCCTGCATATCTTAGAGTTTGATGGCTACAGCACGTCAGTGCTCCAAATATTCTGAGATTATTGAAGCCTTTTTCACCTCTTCTGGAAAATCTACTGCTTTCTGAATGCTAGGTAAAGGATTGTCTGTCTGTGGGGTGAATGATCTCTCCCATGTGCCTCATGTCTTTCTGGGAGAACATTGTTAATGGCCCGGTATTGAGTTTTCCCACTCAGCACAGGCTGGTTAGTGTTTAGGACTGACACTGGGGATGACTCTTGCAACATGTGCTGAAAGATTGCCTGACCGTTTCCTGTGGCCTATTGCAGCTGTGAATACCTAGTTGATTGCCGTGTGAATTCTGAGTTGAACCAAGTGGTCAAGCTAAAGAAAGAAGTAGAGTAAATGAACTAATCTATGCATTTAGCACTCTCCTTCTGATTCTGATTCTCATCCAATATGTGTTGCTCTGATAAAGAGATCTCCAGTAATCTTGTAAATGTCCTCATTGCTAAAGCCTCTGGTTCCCTGGCCTGTGTTGACCGGCTGCTTTCCTCTTCCTGTAGATGTATGAGGTGTTCAGTGTCATCAGAGACCTGGGAGCCATCGCTCAGGTGCACGCAGAGAACGGGGACATCATTGCCCAGGTAACCTCTAATAAACCCTATCACCTTGTCCCAGCTTGCCTTCTCCATTGGCCAAGCGCAGGTAGCCTAACGGTTAGAGCGTTGTAACTGAAAGGTTGCTGGTTCGAATAGCCGAGGTGACAAATTGGTTGATATGCCATTGAGCAAAGCACTTATCCGTAGTTTGTTCCAGGGTTGCCATACTACTATGGCTGACCCTGTAAAACAACACATTTCACAGTTCTATTGTATGTGACAATAAATTATATATATTTTAAAGCTGTTGTCTGATGTGTTTGCAGGAGCAGTGCAGGATCCTGGAGCTGGGCATCACTGGCCCTGAGGGTCATGTACTGAGCCGCCCGGAGGAGGTAACTACAACCTCTGGTCAAGACCTGTGCTTATATCAGAACTTGATGTGTGCCTTTGGTTGCTTTACATGGACATTAGGGAAGAGGCTATATGATATTAACAGAACTCACTACAGATGTAAAGTAAATGAAAGAGTCAAGTGTCTGAGTGTTATTTTCCTATGCTTGCTTCCAGAATGCCTAGCAGCATTAAAGCTAGTCTGTAGCTCAACATGAAGGTCACTGTGTCTGGTCTGTTTGGACTGAACTCCCTCTCTCTGTGTCTGTCTCTGGTGTGTAGGTGGAGGCAGAAGCAGTCAACCGGTCAGTCACTGTGGCCAATCAGACCAACTGCCCCCTGTACATCACCAAGGTGATGAGCAAGAGTGCTGCTGACGTCATCGCCCTGGCCAGGAAAAAGGGTACTAGTAAAAAGGAGAAAGATGGACTACAGCAACACGTTTTGTATTGATTGCTCACTGTGGTTATACAGTGGGGGGGGGAAAAAGTATTTAGTCAGCCACCAATTGTGCAAGTTCTCCCACTTAAAAAGATGAGAGAGGCCTGTAATTTTCATCATAGGTACACGTCAACTATGGAATTTTAATGAATTTATTTGCAAATTATGGTGGAAAATAAGTATTTGGTCACCTACAAACAAGCAAGATTTCTGGCTCTCACAGACCTGTAACTTCTTCTTTAAGAGGCTCCTCTGTCCTCCACTCGTTACCTGTATTAATGGCACCTGTTTGAACTTGTTATCAGTATAAAAGACACCTGTCCACAACCTCAATCAGTCACACTCCAAACTCCACCATGGCCAAGACCAAAGAGCTGTCAAAGGACACCAGAAACAAAATTGTAGACCTGCTCCAGGCTGGGAAGACTGAATCTGCAATAGGTAAGCAGCTTGGTTTGAAGAAATCAACTGTGGGAGCAATTATTAGGAAATAGAAGACATACAAGACCACTGATAATCTCCCTCGATCTGGGGCTCCACGCAAGATCTCACCCCGTGGGGTCAAAATGATCACAAGAACGGTGAGCAAAAATCCCAGAACCAGACGGGGGGACCTAGAATGACCTGCAGAGAGCTGGGACCAAAGTAACAAAGCCTACCATCAGTAACACACTACGCCGCCAGGGACTCAAATCCTGCAGTGCCAGACGTGTCCCCCTGCTTAAGCCAGTACATGTCCAGGCCCGTCTGAAGTTTGCTAGAGTGCATTTGGATGATCCAGAAGAGGATTGGGAGAATGTCATATGGTCAGTTGAAACCAAAATATAACTTTTTGGTAAAAACTCAACTCGTCGTGTTTGGAGGACAAAGAATGCTGAGTTGCATCCAAAGAACACCATACCTACTGTGAAGCATGGGGGTGGAAACATCATGCTTTGGGGCTGTTTTTCTGCAAAGGGACCAGGACGACTGATCCGTGTAAAGGAAAGAATGAATGGGGCCATGTATCGTGAGATTTTGAGTGAAAACCTCCTTCCATCAGCAAGGGCATTGAAGATAAAATGTGGCTGGGTCTTTCAGCATGACAATGATCCCAAACACACCGCCCGGGCAACGAAGGAGTGGCTTTGTAAGAAGCATTTCAAGGTCCTGGAGTGGCCTAGCCAGTCTCCAGATCTCAACCCCATAGAAAATATTTGGAGGGAGATGAAAGTCTGTGTTGCCCAGCGACAGCCCCAAAACATCACTGCTCTAGAGGAGATCTGCATGGAGGAATGGGCCAAAATACCAGCAACAGTGTGTGAAAACCTTGTGAAGACTTACAGAAAACGTTTGACCTGTGTCATTGCCAACAAAGGGTATATAACAAAGTATTGAGAAACTTTTGTTATTGACCAAATACTTATTTTCCACCATAATTTGCAAATAAATTCATTAAAAATCCTACAATGTGATTTTCTGGAGAGAAACAAATCTCAATTTGTCTGTCATAGTTGACGCGTACCTATGATGAAAATTACAGGCCTCTCTCATCTTTTTAAGTGGGAGAACTTGCACAATTGGTGGCTGACTAAATACTTTTTTCCCCCACTGTAGATACACTAAATGTCAAATCCCACATAAATCATTCCACTTGTAAATCTGTCCTGCCTTGGAGACAGAGCACGAGTAGGGCTGTTGCGGTGACTGTATTACCGCCACACCGGCGGTCACGAGTCATGAAGGCAGTCAAATTCCACGTGACCGTTTAGTCATGGTAATTAGGCTTCTCCAAGCTCGGATGCTGCTGCTGGTCATTAGTAGCCTACCAAACTTGCTAACTGCCTAAAGACCTATCACTAAAAGCTTCAGTCATACAAAAGTTATACTTAAATCCGAACTGGTTCTCTAGCAAATTAGTAAGATTGTCTCACCCAATGTTCAAGAATGGCCTTTTTCCCTTTATTCAGATTACAACCTCTCACTTTCAGTTATTTGAAAAGGAAATCATCTCCCAAATATCACTATTTCTAAAACAAGCCATAGAAAGTTGGTTGCAAATTCAAAACTTAGAATTTTTCAATTTAAATTATTATATAAAATTCTTGCTACCAATAGAATGTTATTTATATGGGGGATATAATCTTCCCAGCTCTGCAGATTTTGCTGCGAAGAGACCGAATCATTAGATCATTTGTTTTGGTACTGTCCATTTGTAGCTTGTTTTTGGACACAGGTCCAGGAATGGCTAAAGGATTGCAATATTTACCTGGAGCTAACCCTGCAGATAGCATTACTGGGTGATCTTAAAAGTCATAGTCAATCGATCAATAATATAATAATACTTTTAGCAAAAATGTTTATTTTCAATTTACAATCTGTAGAAACAATGAGAATAGAAGGGTTCAGAACTTTTGTAAAACATCACAGTACAGTTGAAAAATATATGGCAAATAGAAATCCAATATGGATGGTGTTAAGAGATAGATGGGAGGTGTTGAATGGAGTTGAAGGATGGGACTAATAACAACTAATAACAACAAGATAACTAAAAATGTAAGCATACTGTTCCATATTAAGTATATACCGTAATTTTCGGACTATAAGCCGCGCCTTTTTTCCCATTTTTCGACCCTGCGGCTTATATAACGGTGCGGCTAATCTATGGATTTTTACAGCTAACGGCCACTAGAAGACCATCATTCGCAAATGGAAGAAACACAAAAGACCTGTCAATCTCCCTCGGCCTGGGGCTCCATACAAGATCTAACCTCGTGGAGTTGCAATGATCATGAGAACGGTGAGGAATCAGCCCAGAACTACACGGGAGGATCTTGTCAATGATCTCAAGGCAGCTGGGACCATAGTCACCAAGAAAACAATTGGTAACACACGACGCCGTGAAGGACTGAAATCCTGCACCGCCCGCAAGGTCCCCCTGCTCAAGAAAGCACATATACAGGGCCGTCTGAAGTTTACCAATGAACATCTGAATAATTCAGAGGAGAACTGGGTGAAAGTGTTGTGGTCAAATGAGACCAAAATCGAGCTCTTTAGCATCAACTCAACTCGCCGTGTTTGGAGGAGGAGGAATGCTGCCTATGACCCCAAGAACACCATCCCCACCGTCAAACATGGAGGTGGAAACATTATGCTTTGAGGGTGTTTTTCTACTAAGGGGACAGGACAACTTCACCGCATCAAAGGGACGATGGACGGGGACATGTACCGTCAAATCTTGGGTGAGAACCTCCTTCCCTCAGCCAGGGCATTGAACATGGGTCGTGGATGGGTATTGCAGCATGACAATGACCCAAGACACACGGCCAAGGCAACAAAGGAGTGGCTCAAGAAGAAGCACTTTAAGGTCCTGGAGTGGCCTAGCCAGTCTCCAGACCTTAATCCCATAGAAAATCTGTGGAGGGAGCTGAAGGTTCGAGGTGCCAAACGTCAGCCTCGAAACCTTAATGACTTGGAGAAGATCTGCAAAGAGAAGTGGAACAAAATCCCTCCTGAGATGTGTACAAACCTGGTGGCCAACTAACTACAAGAAACGTCTGACCTCTGATTGCCAACAAGGGTTTTGCCACCAAGTACTAAGTCATGTTTTGCAGAGGGGTCAAATACTTATTTCCCTCATTAAAATGCAAATCAATTAATAACATTTTTGACATGCATTTTTCTGGATTTTGTTGTTGTTATTCTGTCTCTCACTGTTCAAATAAACCTACCATTAAAATTATAGACTGATCGTGTCTTTGTCAGTGGGCAAACGTACAAAATCAGCAGGGGATCAAATACTTTTTTCCCTCACTATATATACATATACAGTTGAAGTCGGAAGTTTACATACACCTTAGCCAAATACATTTAAACTCAGTTTTTCACAATTTCTGACATTTAATCCTAGTAAAAATTCCCTGTCTTAGGTCAGTTAGGATCACCACTTTATTTTAAGAATATGAAATGTCAGAACAATAGTAGAGAGAATGATTTATTTCAGCTTTTATTTCTTTCATCACATTCCCACTGGGTCAGAAGTTTACATACACTCAATTAGTATTTGGTAGCATTGCCTTTAAATTGTTTAACTTGGGTCAAACGTTTCGGGTAGCCTTCCACAAGCTTCCCACAATAAGTTGGGTTAATTTTGGCCCATTCCTCCTGACAGAGCTGGTGTAACTGAGTCAGGTTTGTAGGCCTCCTTGCTCGCACACGCTTTTTCAGTTCTGCCCACAAATGTTCTATAGGATTGAGGTCAGGGCTTTGTGATGGCCACTCCAATACTTGACTTTGTTGTCCTTAAGCTATTTTGCCACAACTTTGGAAGTATGCTTGAGGTCATTGTCCATTTGGAAGACCCATTTGCGACCAAGTTTTAACTACCTGACTGATGTCTTGAGATGTTGCTTCAATATATCCACATAATTTCCCTTCCTCATGATGCCATCTATTTTGTGAAGTGCACCAGTCCCTCCTGCAGCAAAGCACCCCCACAGCATGATGCTGCCACCCCCGTGCTTCACGGTTGTGATGGTGTTCTTCGGCTTGCAAGTTAACGCCTTTTTCCTCCAAACATAACAATGGTCATTATGGCCAAACAGTTCTATTTTTGTTTCATCAGACCAGAGGACATTTCTCCAAAAAGTACGATCTTTGTCCCCATGTGCAATTGCAAAACGTAGTCTGGCTTTTTTATGGCGGTTTTGGAGCAGTGGCTTCTTCCTTGCTGAGCGGCCTTTCAGGTTATGTCGATATAGGACTCGTTTTACTGTGGATATAGATACTTTTGTACCTGTTTCCTCCAGCATTTTCACAAGGTCCTTTGCTGTTGTTCTGGGATTGATTTGCACCCTTTCGCATCAAAGCACTTTCATCTCTAGGAGACAGAACGTGTCTCCTTCCTGAGCGGTATGACGACTGCGTGGTCCCATGGTGTTTATACTTGCGTACTATTGTTTGTACAGATGAACGTGGTACCTTCAGGCGTTTGGAAATTGCTTCCAAGGATGAACCAGACTTGTGGAGGTCTACACATTTTTTTTCTGAGGTCTTGTCTGATTTCTTTAGATTTTCCCATGATGTCAAGAAAAGAGGCACTGAGTTTGAAGGTAGGCCTTGAAATACATCCACAGGTACACCTCCAATTGACTGAAATGATGTCAATTAGCCTATCAGAAGCTTCTAAAGAATTTTCCAAGCAGTTTAAAGGCACAGTCAACTTAGTGTATGTAAACTTCTGACCCACTGGAATTGTGATACAGTGAATTATAAGTGAAATAATCTGTCTGTAAACAATTGTTGGAAAAATGACTTGTGTCATGCACAAAGTAGATGTCCTAACCGACTTGCCAAAACTATAGTTTGTTAACAAGACATTTGTGGAGTGGTTGAAAAATGAGTTTTAATGACTCCAACCTAAGTGTATGTAAACTTCCGACTTCAACTGTATTTGCGAGAGAAAAAAAACATATGGGGGATTGGAAGTGATGCAGACAATTACATTGATGGAAGTTACAATCTATCTGCAATATTAAAGCTGATCTACCCCCTAAAACAAATATTTAAAAAAGCACTTGAGAGCTCATGTTGCGCAACATTTCTATAGGCTATGGATTTGTGGGAGAAAACAGAGTGATGGTCTCTACTAAAAAGAGGAGGATCCCATCAGCTTTCTATAGGCTAGGCCTACTATATTTATTTCTCAACTTTCCTAATATTAAGCACATTGCTTATATTTACAACATAGCCTACCTGGCTGGGATGAAAATGAACCACGCGAAAAGCGTCCTCCATTCGCTATTTAAGTGCATAGATTACATGTATTTTTTCCGCTGCCCCTATTTCGATACAGGTGCATGATAATGGTCCATTCTAAATCAAAACAAATTTCACACATATATTATTTAGTATGTCTGATGGGTGACAATATTAGCCTATCACTTGTGAATGATATATTATCACTTGTGAATGATGCCCAGCATAAGAAACGAAGCCTTTTTTTTGCTACTTTTTTTAATCATAGTCGCACACCTGATGTAGCCTAGCCCATACGCTTATATGTTTTTATAAGGTTTGTATCACAACTAAAGTGGCCAAATAACTTCTTTAAAATTAAGCACATTCATCCGCTTTACAAGGGGTGTAGAGCCTAACTGGCATATATAAGCAGCGCATGAGTTTCAAGTTTGGGGAAGATAATTTTCACCATAAAAATGCACCTTTATAATAAAAGCATTACATGCATAATTGCATTTGCAGTCACTTTTGATAATGGTGTTTTCCCGCTAATGGAACATTCACGCTTATAGCCTACTACCATTTGCACATTGCTGAGCATATAATGTGAAGAAATGGCCTAATAGTTTATCAACATTTTAAGCTAAATGTTCTGATCTGTTGCATCAGCCACATTGTGTAAAAAGTGGTTGTATTAATTTGGGATCTATTGCACCCCACAACTGTCCCAGACTATGTTTGGAATGTTTTTTTCTCGCACAGAATAGAATAGGTCGACCTTTGTACTATGGGGGATAGTAGATTGACATCGGCTAGTGCTTTTGCTGTTCGTTAGGCCTACTCATCTTGTTGGCTGACAAAGTAAATGTGGACAGTTCTTCCAATATCTTCAATATGCACCTCAGAATTGGATAAAGACGCGCGCAGTTGCGTCCCCGATATGTCTGTCTTCACTTGTAGCCTGTGAGAAAGACCTGATCACTTGATGGAGAGCCATGTGAGTGAGAGGTGATTCGGAGTGCTCAGCATTCAGAGAGAAGGGCACAACGGCCGCTGGCCGCAAAAGGCATGGATTTTTTAGGGTGCATTACGGCCACACAAAGGGGATGCCGCAATTAAATTCTAGGCATTATCAAGTGCTTGTCAAATTGTGAATGAGTAACTGATGTAGTGTGTACAGCCTGCGCAAAAAAACTAAGCAGAGCTCATGCCTTTAAAGCAACTTTTTTCAAATCATCATTAGAGTCTCATCATGCAGCCTTAAAATGTATTAAAAATCAAAACATATAGCCCAACGTTTGTAGAACAACTAAAGTTACATTAATAACTCTAAATTAAGCATATAGGAGTACCAATTTCTTTGTTAACCGCTCAACACAGAATAGCCGTATGTGCGCACACCCTTAAATCGTTTGGAGAAAATATCCTTTCTATTCAGCTTTGTTCAATTGTATTCTTCATACTTTAATTTACGGATAGCCAGGGGCACACTCCAACACTCAGACGTAATTTACAAACAAAGCATTTGTGTTTAGTGAGTCCGCCAGATCAGAGGCAGTAGATGACCAGGGATGTTCTCTTGATAAGTGCGTGAATTTGACAATTTTCCTGTCCTGCTAAGCATTCAAAATGTAACGAGTACTTTTAGGTGTCAGGGAAAATGTATGGAGTAAAAAGTACATTCTTTTCATTAGGAATGTAATGAAGGAAAAATAAAAATTGTCAAAAATAAAAATAGTAAAGTACAGATACCAAAAAAAAACGACTTAAGTAGTACTTGAAAGTATTTTTACTTAAGTACTTTACACCACTGGGTGTAGGCTATATTACATGGATTTATTAGAGACTTTTAAAAATGTAGATGTTCCTAAGGTCTGCATCAGTGGCTTGTGTGGAAGCCAGGAGATGCTAAATGTGTTGATGTTAATTAACAGTCAATTACCGTGAGACCGACAGTTATTTGCTTGACAGTCACCGGCTGACGAAATTTCGTGACTGCCACAGCCCTAGGCACGAGCACTCTGAGGTATATTGAACACTGTAACTCTCCCTGCCATGCTGACCTAGTGTTTTGCTGTGTTCTGGGGTACTCTAGGTACTGTGGTGTATGGAGAGCCCATCTCTGCCAGCCTGGGCACGGACGGCACCCACTACTGGAGTAAGAACTGGGCCAAGGCAGCTGCCTTCATCACCTCCCCACCCCTCAGCCCCGACCCCACCACCCCCGACTATCTCAATTCACTGCTCTCCTGGTAGGTGCTCCATTTATACTATGGACCTCTACTCAACACAGAGCTATGCAGTAATCATGTGTTACTTACACACATCTTCCACCAGAGGGTGGTATGTCATCCTAGCCTCCTGGAAAGTCATCACTCAAGACAAAATCATCAAACATAAGACCTATCAGTAGTCTCTCTCACTCTCCCCCTCCATCCTTTGTTCCTTTCCAGTGGTGACCTGCAGGTGACTGGTAGTGCTCATTGCACGTTCCACACCTCCCAGCGTGCCGTGGGCAAAGACAACTTCACCCTCATCCCAGAGGGCACCAACGGCACTGAGGAGAGACTCTCCCTCATCTGGGACAAGTGTGTGGTGAGGCACAGTCTACTGACCTTTTTCTGCCAGTTTCCTACAATCAACCATACCACAGTCACACATGTATCCTGTTATTGTAAATAGATATCGATGTTGTGGTATTAACAATCAATCTACTTTCCCTGTTTGTGCCACAGTGATTAATGTCATCAAGTGGTTGTCTCAGTTGGTCAAGTGAATGTTTGCAGCTGTTTTGTTAGTCAGGAAGTGATAGCGCCTTGTCTTCTGATTCCCTTAGGTTACTGGAAAAATGGACGAGAACCAGTTTGTGGCTGTGACCAGCACCAATGCAGCTAAAATCTTCAACCTGTACCCCCGTAAGGGCCGCATCGCATTGGGCTCTGACGCCGACCTGGTCCTGTGGGACCCAGACGTCAGCAAGATCATCTCTGCCAAGAGCCACAACGTGGTAAGGGCCAACCCACACTGTACTGACCATGTCATGGTATTTATACATGGTTTTAGTCACACCTACTGTATGTAGGACTCAATTTCCGATCAAAATTTTCAGTTTGGACCGTGAAATTCTTCCACATTTTCATATGAAACATTGAAGCTCTTTTTCCTACGAAGCTTTGAGACAACCCAACAAGTAAAAATCTACTCACCTGAAATGACTTGTCACAGATCAGCTCATGCAGATAGATTGGTAGCCTAGCGGTTAGAGCGTTGGGCCAGTAACTTGAAGGTGAAAAATCTGTTGATGTGCCCTTGAGCAAGGCGCACTTAACCATCATTTGGTCCAGGGGTGCTGTACTACTATGTCTGACCCTGTAAAACAACACATTTCACTGCATCTACAGTTGAAGTCGGAAGTTTACATACACCTTAGCCAAATACATTTAAACTCTGTTTTTCACAATTCCTGACATGAAATCCTAGTAAAAATTCCCTGTCTTAGGTCAGTTAGGAACATCCACTTTATTTTAAGAATGTGAAATGTCAGAATAATAGTAGAGAGAATTATTTATTTCAGCTTTTATTTCTTTCATCACATTCCCAGTGGGTCAGAAGTTTACTTACACTCAAATAGTATTTGGTAGCATTGCCTTTTAATTGTTTAACTTGTGTCAAACATTTCGGGTAGCCTTCCACAAGCTTCCCACAAAAAGTTTTTGCCCATTCCTCCTGACAGATCTGATGTAACTGAGTCAGGTTTGTAGGCCTCCTTGCTCGCACAGGCTTTTTCAGTTCTGCCCACAAATGTTCTATAGGATTGAGGTCAGGGCTTTGTGATGGCCACTCCAATACCTTGACTTTGTTGTCCTTAAGCCGTTTTGCCACAACTTTGGAAGTATGCTTGGGGTCATTGTCCATTTGGAAGACCCATTTGCGACCAAGCTTTAAATTCCTGACTGATGTCTTGAGGTGTTGCATCAATGTATCCACATAATTTTCCTTCCTCATGATGCCATCTATTTTGTGAAGTGCACCAGTCCCTCCTGCAGCAAAGCACCCCCACAGCATGATGCTGCCACCCCCGTGCTTCACGGTTGGGATGGTGTTCTTCGGCTCGCAAGCAACCCCCTTTTTCCTCCAAACATAACGATGGTCATTATGGCCAAACAGTTCTATTTTTGTTTCATCAGACCAGAGGACATTTCTCCAAAAAGTACGATCTTTGTCCCCATGTGCAATTGCAAACCGTAGTCTGGCTTTTTTATGGCGGTTTTGGAGCAGTGGCTTCTTCCTTGCTGAGCGGCCTTTCAGGTTATGTCGATATAGGACTCGTTTTACTGTGGATATAAATACTTTTGTACCTGTTTCCTCCAGCATCTTCACAAGGTCCTTTGCTGTTGTTCTGGGATTGATTTGCACCCTTTCGCATCAAAGTACTTTCATCTCTAGGAGACAGAACGTGTCTCCTTCCTGAGCGGTATGACGGCTGCGTGGTCCCATGGTGTTTATACTTGCGTACTATTGTTTGTACAGATGAACGTGGTACCTTCTGGTGTTTGGAAATTGCTCCCAAGGATGAACCAGACTTGTGGAGGTCTACACATTTTTTTCTGAGGTCTTAGCTTATTTGTTTTGATTTTCCCATGATGTCAACCAAAGAGGCACTGAGTTTGAAGGTAGGACTTGAAATACATCCGCAGGTACACCTCCAGTTGACTCAAATGATGTCAATTAGCCTATCAGAAGCTTCTAAAGCCATGACATCATTTTCTGGAATTTTCCAAGCTGTTTAAAGGCACAGTCAACTTAGTGTATGTAAACTTCTGACCCACTGGAATTGTGATACAGTGAATTATAAGTGAAATAATCTGTCTGTAAACAATTGTTGTAAAAATTACTTGTGTCATGCACAAAGTAGATGTCCTAACCGACTTGCCAAAACTATAGTTTGTTAACAAAAACAAGTTTTAATGACTCCAACCTAAGTGTATGTAAACTTCCGACTTCAACTGTATCTGGTGTGACAATAATACATTATTTTCCCCCCCACTCTGAGTCATCACTACTCTTCATTTAGAGGAGCTAGCTGGCTACATCAGCACTAGTTTCCCATTAATTTGTCAGCTGAATGTGACAGTGACCCACTGTGTTCCAGTGAGTCAGTCTCTCTCTCTAGGCATCTATGTTGATGTGATTGATGGCCATCACCATGCTGGCACAAGTCATTGAACGACTAAGGCTCAGACTGAAGTTCATATGGAAAAAGGCCTCACATTTCTTAAATGTTTTTTGTTTTGTTTTGCAATGTGCATATGAAAGTAGGCTTGGCGTTGTCTTTCTATGTTATTTGCCCTCTTGTACTGTGTCAGTCTATTTGTCACTGTTCTCATCAGAGCTATTCTTCTGCAGGCTGTGGACTATAATATCTTCGAGGGCATTGAGGTGCGTGGAGCTCCCCTGGTGGTGATCAGCCAGGGCAAAATCGTGTTGGAAGAGGGAAACCTCCATACCACTGAGGGCTGTGGGCGCTATGTGAGCCGCAAGCCCTTCCCTGACCATGTCTACAAGAGAATAAAGGCTCGCAGCAGGGTGAGTCTATAGTGCCGTGAAATTGACATAGAATAGATTATTGATTGTTTATGACCATTCCCACTGATAGTTATGATAGCAGAACTAGAACAGCCGAACTGATGCTGTCATCTTGTCTGTCTCTCTCTCTCTCTGTCTGTCTCCTCCCAGCTGACGGAGCTGAGGGGTGTCCCCAGGGGTCTCTATGACGGGCCGGTGTGTGAGAATGTGACACCTAAGGTCATGACTCCGGTCACCTCGGTGAAGACCTCTCCAGCCAAGCTGCAGCAGCAGCATCAGCAGCAGCAGCAGGGTCCTCAGCCAGTCCGCAACCTGCACCAGTCTGGCTTCAGCCTGTCTGGTGAGCACAGCTCAAAATGTCTCTCACAGCTCTCACATGGAATATCAGTAGGAATAGCATAATACTAGGATGTGTTGGCACACAAGTATTATCATTTGGCATGCATTTACAATATATTTAATTTGTTACAAATATGTTGTTTTTCTTGTCAGGAAAATCAGAGCGAAGTCTCATTCAAATCCCCCTTAAGATTACATACTTTTTTCTCTCTCTCTATCTCTCATGCCCAGGTGCACAAGTTGATGATAATATTCCTCGCCGCAACACCCAGCGCATTGCGGCGCCCCCTGGTGGTAGGTCGAACATCACCAGCCTGGGTTAAGCTCTCCTGTCAGCTGAGCCAGGGAGGAGATGAGCGGGAGGATCCACCCCAGCTCCCAGACAAACCAACACAACCAACGGAGGGAGCTTCATCTGTGGTCCTTCTCCCTGACTCAACTGCACCCTGGTCAAAAACACTCCATCCATATTTAACAGCTCTGTCACCTCATTCAAATAAATAAAATAGATAGCACTCAATGTTTTGTTTTGTATGACCTACATGCCATTATATGCCATCTTCATATTTTTTTAAAAGGAAGAGTCAAGTGAATTTAGACAGCGCTTGATGTTTTACTGTTTTGTGATATAAATATATTTATATCCAGTTTAAGTTTAGGCTTTGTTTACATTTTGGCTTTAAATTGTACAAGAGGAACTGTGGATTGCAGTCATGTGGCATTTGATGTAGCTGCTATTTAATGGACCTTCTTGACACGCATTGTTTCCAATAAGTGATAAATGTCGTTTTTATGAACTATGGAGACAACGCATTGAATCATTGTCAAAGACGTGGCATTTTTAACTAAAATACATCTTTATTGTTTTCCTTCCATCCTATAAGTGATGGAAGGAATGCATTTGGTATATTTTTAAGGCTTTAGAATAGTATTGTTGAAGTAACTCAGAGGACCTTTTCGCCTCTCTAAGTCAGTTTGCAGTATTTGTATGACTTTAAACAGCTGTGAGTTCTAGATATTATCCTCCCAGTCTTTCTGGTCAGTATTACCACAGAAGTTTCAGCTGAACAAATTCACTTCAATCTTCCTTTGTCTCATTGCTGCACTTTTTGTATTGTAATGTTTTTGTTGTTAATGTTATACATTTTCAATTGTGTCTAGAGCTAAAACACTACTGTAATCTCTGAAATATTGACTATTAGATCTTAGCTTGTTTGCTGATGGAATGCACAGAAGTCAAAGGAGAGGGTATTGTAGGGTTAAACCATTCATCTCCTCACTCCCCTCAGTCGGAACACCTTTGACACAAAGTATGCACAATCCATTGCAGCAGGGAGAACCTTCTGCAACAAAAAAAAACGGACATTTTGCCTCTATTTCATCCTTTTTCTTCTTTGTTCACTAGCTATCCAAAGTTAAATCTCGCCAAGACACCAGGCTTCCTATAATCACACTGCTGTTTATTTCTAATGACACTGACAGCCATGCTGGATAAAAGGTTGCCCCTAACAACCTCTCTGGTGCTATTTGATCAATGCTGTGTATGTGCAGATGGTGGTGCCTACTTTTTCCACTCAACCACAGCAATTCAAGCTTTGTGAAAACCACTTTACGGGGGAAGCGGGGTCAGCTATTACCATTCCTCCATCATGGTCTCATACGTCACAGGTCTTCGTTTTCTATCTGCTAAAGTGCAAAAGGTGAATCTGTGAAAATGTTGATTTGTATTAGATGTTTGTTTTAGGTTTTTTTCAGAATGTTTGTTCAATATCACTTGCCTGCCTATTCTATAAAGTATTGATTGATAGCACACTATAAGAACCATGTATTTATGAAAAATATATCTTAAGCACTGTCAGTGACCAAGCTAGTACAAGTGGTGCTTTGAGATCCAGTGAAAAAAGCTATGATAATGAAGTCCATTATTTACAGTGTGCTGATGATGTGGTTTGACTCCTGTCCTAATTGTTGGAGACATTAGAATAGCACCTCCTCGTAGCCCTGTGAGTGTTGACGATGGGAGCCACTTTTAACAGGTGCTCCATCATCACTCTCTTTACCCTCTTACCTATTCACATTAGACCTCACTGTTAGTGCCATTCATCAGGGTATGGACAATGTTTCACCAGACCACAAGCCCATGTTAGTTAACCACTCACTAAGCACTCACTGTGTGAAAGGTACAGTAGGGACATTTACAGTAGGCTCCTTATTCATCTGATCAGTTTTCTGTATAGCATTGTATTCTTTCCTCCTTGCCTTGTTAGGTATAGGTCATTATGCCAAGCTTGTATGTGATGTAAGTGAATTGCAGATGGGGAGGTTTCCTATAGTGTTTGTTTTTATTTCTGACGTTTAGCACTGTCATTGCCCTCCCTCCCCTCCCATCTAGTGATAAACTGTTGACCATGTATGTATTGTAGGCTACTGGGATTTTGGGATACTTATTCCTGACGGCATTGAATCCCATCGGTGTTGACTTAAATGGTTTTAAACATTAAAAAATGCAACAAAATTATGTCTCTCTAACAGTTATTTTGCTAACAGATACTGGTTTAGTTTTGATGGTCATTAAAATACAGCGGCACAACTTTGGTTTTAGTAGAGGAGGGGACATAATATATACATACACTGCTCAAAAGAATAAAGGGAACACTTAAACAACACAATGTAACTCCAAGTCAATCACGCTTCTGTGAAATCAAACTGTCCACTTAGGAAGCAACACTGATTGACAATAAATTTCACATGCTGTTGTGCAAATGGAATAGACAACAGGTGGAAATTATAGGCAATTAGCAAGACACCCCCAATAAAGGACTGGTTTTGCAGGTGGTGACCACAGACCACTTCTCAGTTCCTATGCTTCCTGGCTGATGTTTTGGTCACTTTTGAATGCTGGCGGTGCTTTCACTCTAGTGGTAGCATGAGACGGAGTCTACAACCCACACAAGTGGCTCAGGTAGTGCAGCTCATCCAGGATGGCACATCAATGCGAGCTGTGGCAAGAAGGTTTGCTGTGTCTCTCAGCGTTGTGTCCAGAGCATGGAGGCGCTACCAGGAGACAGGCCAGTACATCAGGAGACGTGGAGGAGGCCGTAGGAGGGCAACAACCCAGCAGCAGGACTGCTACCTCCGCCTTTGTGCAAGGAGGAGCAGGAGGAGCACTGCCAGAGCCCTGCAAAATGACCTCCAGCAGGCCACAAATGTGCATGTGTCTGCTCAAACAGTCAGAAACAGACTCCATGAGGGTGGTATGAGGGCCTGACATCCACAGGTGGGGGTTGTGCTTACAGCCCAACACCGTGCAGGACGTTTGGCATTTGCCAGAGAACACCAAGATTGGCAAATTCGCCACTGGCGCCCTGTGCTCTTCACAGATGAAAGCAGGTTCACACTGAGCACGTGACAGAGTCTGGAGACGCCGTGGAGAACGTTCTGCTGCCTGCAACATTCTCCAGCATGACCGGTTTGGCGGTGGGTCAGTCATGGTGTGGGGTGGCATTTCTTTGGGGGGGCCGCACAGCCCTCCATGTGCTCGCCAGAGGTAGCCTGACTGCCATTAGGTGGTTGGCCCTGGCTTCCTCCTAATGCAAGACGATGCTAGACCTCATGTGGCTGGAGTGTGTCAGCAGTTCCTGCAAGAGGAAGGCATTGATGCTATGGACTGGCCTGCCCGTTCCCCAGACCTGAATCCAATTGAGCACATCTGGGACATCATGTCTCGCTCCATCCACCAACGCCACGTTGCACCACAGACTGTCCAGGAGTTGGCGGATGCTTTAGTCCAGGTCTGGGAGGAGATCCCTCAGGAGACCATCCGCCACCTCATCAGGAGCATGCCCAGGCGTTGTAAGGAGGTCATACAGGCACGTGTAGGCCACACACAGTACTGAGCCTCATTTTGACTTGTTTTAAGGACATTACATCAAAGTTGGATCAGCCTATAGTGTGGTTTTCCACTTTAATTTTGAGGGTGACTCCAAATCCAGACCTCCATGGGTTGATACATTTGATTTCCATTGATAATTTTTGTGTGATTTTGTTGTCAGCACATTCAACTATGTAAAGAAAAAAGTATTTAATAAGATTATTTCATTCATTCAGATCTAGGATGTGTTATTTTAGTGTCCCCTTTATTTTTTTGAGCAGTGTATATATACAGTGCATTCCAAAAGTATTCAGACCCCTTCACTTTTTCCACATTTTGTTATGTTACAGCCTTATTGTAAAATTCATTCAATTGTTTTTTTTTCATCAATCTACACACAATACCCCATAATGACAAAGCAAAAACAGGTTTTTAGAAATTTTTGCAAATGTATTAAAAATAAAAACAGAAATATTACATTTACATAAGTATTCAGACCCCTTACTGAGTACTTTGTTGAAGCGCCTTTGTCAGCGATTACAGCCTCCAGTCTTCCTGGGTATGACGCTACAAGCTTGGCACACCTGTATTTGGAGAGTTTCTCCCATTCTTCTCTGCAGATTCTCTCAAGCTCTGTCAGGTTGGAAGGGGAGCGTTGCTGCACAGCTATTTTCAGGTCTCTCCAGAGATGTTGGATCGGGTTCAAGTCCGGGCTCTGGCTGGGCCACTCAAGGACATTCAGAGACTTGTCCCAAAGCCACTCATGTGTTGTCTTGGCTGTGTGCTTAGGGTCGTTGTCCTGTTGGAAGGTGAACCTTCGTCCCAGTCTAAGGTCCTGAGTGCTCTGGAGCAGGACCTCATCAAGGATCTCTCTATACTTTGCTCCGTTCATCTTTGCCTCGATCCTGACTAGTCTCCCAGTCCCTGCCGCTGAAAAACATCCCCACAGCATGGGCTGCCACCACCATGCTTCACCGTAGGGATGTTGCCAGGTTTCCTCCGTAAGTGACGCTTGGCATTCAGGCCAAAGAATTCAGTCTTGGTTTCATCAGACCAGAGAATCTTGTTTCTCATGGTCTGAGAGTCTTTAGGTGCCATTTGGCAAACTCCAAGCTGGCTGTCATGTACCTTTTACTGAGGAATGGCTTCTTTCTGGCCACTTTACCATAAAGGCCTTATTGGTGGAGTGCTGCAGAGATGGTTGTCCTTCTGGAAGTTTCGCCCATCTCCACAGAGGAACTCTAGAGCTCTGTAAGAGTGACCATCGGGTTCTTGGTCATCTCCCTGACGAAGGTCCTTCTCCCCCGATTGCTCAGTTTGACCGGGCAGCCAGAGCTAGGAAGAGTTTTGGTGGTTCCAAACTTCTTCCATTTAAGAATGATGGAGGCCATGTGTTCTTGGGGAATTTCAATGCTGCAGAAATGTTTTGGTTCCCTTCCCCAGATCTGTGCCTCGACACAATCCTGTCTCGGAGCTCTAGAGACAATTCCTTCGACCTCATGGTTTGGTTTTTGTTCTGACATGCACTGTCAACTGTGGGACCTTATATATGTCCAATCAATTTAATTTACCACAGGTGGACTCCAATCAAGTTGTAGAAACATCTCAAGGATGATCAATGGAAACAAGATGCATCTGAGCTCAATTTCGAGTCTCATAGCAAAGGGTCTAAATACTTACGTAAATGTGATATTTCTGTTTTTTATTTGTAATACATTTGCAAAAAATAATCTAAAAACCTATTTTCGTTTTGTCATTATGGGGTATTGTGTGTAGATTGATGTGAAAACATTTGTCTTTCATCAATTTTTGAATAAATCTGTAACGTAACAAATTGTGGAAAAGGTCAAGGGGTCTGAATACTTTCTGAACGCACTGTATATACAGCACCAGTCAAAAGTTTGGACACACCTATTCATTCAAGGGTTTTTCTTTATTTTAACTATTTTCTACATTGTAGAATAATAGTGAAGACATCAAAACTATGACATAACACATATGGAATCATGTAGTAACCAAAAAAGTGTTAAACAAATCTAAATATATTTTATATTTGAGATTCTTCAAAGTAGCCACCCTTTGCCTTGATGACAGCTTTGCACACTCTTGGCTTGCACACACTTTTTCAGTTCTGCCCACCACATTTCTACAGGATTGAGGTCAGGGCTTTGTGATGGCCACTCCAATACCTTGCCTTTGTTGTCCTTAAGCCATTTTGCCACAACTTTGGAAGTATGCTTGGGGTCATTGTCCATTTGGAAGACCCATTTGCGACCAAGCTTTAACTTCCTGACTGATCTCTTGAGATGTTGCTTCAATATATCCACATAATTTTCCTTCCTCATGATGCCATCTATTTTGTGAAGTGCAGCAGACCCTCCTGTAGCAAAGCACCCCCACAGCATGATGCTGCCACCCACGTGCTTCACGATTGGTATGGTGATCTTCGGCTTGCAAGCCACCCACTTTTTCCTCCAAACATAACGATGGTCATTATGGCCAAACAGTTCTATTTTTGTTTCATCAGACCAGAGGACATTTCTCCAAAAAACACGATCTTTGTCCCCATGTGCAGTTGCAAACCGTAGTCTGGCTTTTTTATGGCGGTTTTGGAGCAGTGGCTTCTTTCTTTTCTACATTTAGCAGATGCTCTTATCCAGAGCAACTTACAAGAGCAATTAGGTTTAAGTGCCTTGCTCAAGGGCACATCAACAGATTTTTCACCTAGTCAGCTTGGTGATTTGAACCATCATCCTTTCGGTTACTGGTCCAACGCTCTTAACCACTAGCTTCTTCCTTGCTGAGCGGCCTTTCAGGTTATGTCAATATACAGTCGTGGTCAAAAGTTTTGAGAATGACACAAATATTGGTCTTCACAAAGTTTGCTGCTTCAGTGTTTTTAGATATTTTTGTCAGATGTTACTATGGTATACTGAAGTATAATTACAAGCATTCCATAAGTGTCAAAGGCTTTTATTGACAATTACATTAAGTTTATGCAAAGAGTCAATATTTGCAGTGTTGACACTTCTTTTTCAAGACCTCTGCAATCCGCCCTAGCATGCTGTCAATTAACTTCTGGGCCACATCCTGACTGATGGCAGCCCATTCTTGCATAATCAATGCTTGGAGTTTGTCAGAATTTGTGGGTTTTTGTTTGTCCACCCGCCTCTTGAGGATTGACCACAAGTTCTCAATGGGATTAAGGTCTGGGGAGTTTCCTGGCCATGGACCCAAAATGTTGATGTTTTGTTCCCCGAGCCACTTAGTTATCACTTTTGCCTTATGGCAAGGTGCTCCATCATGCTGTAAAAGGCATTGTTCATCACCAAACTGTTATTGGATGGTTGGGAGAAGTTGCTCTCGGAGGATGGGTTGGTACCATTCTTTATTCATGGCTGTGTTCTTAGGCAAAATTGTGAGTGAGCCCACTCCCTTGGCTGAGAAGCAACCCCACACATGAATGGTCTCAGGATGCTTTACTGTTGGCATGACACAGGACTGATGGTAGCGCTCACCTTGTCTTCTCCGGACAAGCTTTTTTCCAGATGCCCCAAACAATCGGAAAGGGGATTCATCAGAGAAAATTACTTTACCCCAGTCCTCAGCAGTTCAATCCATATACCTTTTTGCAGAATATCAGTCTGTCCCTGATGTTTTTCCTGGAGAGTAGTGGCTTCCTCGCTGCCCTTCTTGACACCAGGCCATCCT